AATAAATAATAAAAAGTATGAAAAAAAAGAAAAAACCAAAATTTCAATAAATAAAGAAAATTAAAAAAATTATTTTTAAATACAAAAAATAAGATTATTTCGATTAAAATTAATAGATAATACGTAATTAATTGATATCATTTTAAATGGACGTTGTAAATATGTTAATATTTTTTAACACGTAATTGATTTTTAAATTTAGATTAATTTGTAGACTTCAAAATTATTTTTTAATAAATTTTAATTAATTTTAAGATTTTATGAAAAAAATATTTTAATAAATAATTAATCATACTTAACTAAAAAAAAATAGATAATAATATATTTTTTTACTTTTAAATTTTGTCGAACAAACATAAAATCATTACGACAACGAGTCGGGTAACGTTGCCATTGTTTTGTTTCTGGCAAGGTCTTGTACAAACACGTCAAATTGTTAACCAAAAAAAAAAAAAACAAAAAAAAAAGGTCTGTGGAAGTTGTCAGTCCGAAGTCTTTGTCTCAACGAGGGCTAAAATGGAAAGCGATCACTCTTAGAATCTTCTTGGGTTTTGTTAAATGGGCTGCTTCTTTTGAGCCATTTTTAAACAGGGTTTCATTGGGTATCTATAAAAACTATATAAATATTGTAGTTAACTAAAATTAGATTTGCATTTCGTTGACATATTATCTTTTAAAATTAAGAGAAATAAAATTTTTATATCAAGTTTTAATAGATGATAATATATAGATAAATATAAATGTATTTATTTTTTTAATAAAAATTATAATTTAGTTATATATAAATGTAGTTTTTTATTAAATAAAAATATTAAATAATATCTTTTTAATATAATATAATATTAATACATATATATATAAATATAAATTAAATAAATAATTAAATATATTCTTTTACATATATGAGGATAGTTAAGTAGAGCATCCTAAACGGAATTCTCATTCCTTTTTCGTGAATTGAAGGATTAAATCTGTAAGAATATTAGATTTAGTTTAAGTTTTTAATTTTGTGTCTATATTTCATGAATAAAATATTTACATCTAATTATATATTTTTTAATATTTAAAATTGTTAAGAATTGAACCTGATTGTTATAATTAAAAGTCTAGCACTCTATTATTTTATATCTCAAGAATAATATGTTTATTACTTAACATTCTTTGATTTAAGATGAGATCATGGCTAAGTTTATCTGATATTTCAACTATATTTAATTCTCGGATAAATGAATTTTAAGAAGCTTTTGCCTTATTAATTGCTCGAGAGTGGCTATCTTTCAAGGGGATTGGCCCATTAACCACGTAGACACAAAAATCCTTCAAGGGGATTTGAATCTTATTTTCTTATGCCTCTGTTATTTCTTTCCTTTCTAAGTCATGCATTTGAAAACGGGTCACAAAATGGTTTTATGTTTCTAAAACCTTCCTTAATAAAGTGATGAAACTTGACAAACGTGAACTTATGATAACACTAACTCATGATTTAAAGTCAAATATCCTTTCTATTATTTAAAAAGTAAGGATAAAATCTATTTTTTTTTTTATAGAATTACCGTTGGATCCTCAGTTTTTAACTCAAATTGTCACAATTTTTATTTCTGAACTTAGGACATCAGTCTATCACCAGCAATAAGGAATCTGATTACACCAAAGATCTTAGTATAATTTGTTCATGTCAATTTATGTAAGATTATAATCAACACATTCAAAATTTAAAACCTTTAGGCTGCATCCCAGCCATTCCAATTAAGTGGACAAAGCCAGCCCCATAACTTCAGTCAAATATGTAACGATCTGATCCTGTGTTCCAAGGGCGAACCCACCTCATTAATCCTCTGCCTTTCAATGGTTTTGTTCTGTGGGTCTATTTTCCTCTCCTTTTTTGATACTCAAGAAAACATAGGGTCAGTTGATTTTTGACGTCAAGCATTTGTTAGAAATTGCTATTTCTTTGATTGTTTGACAGGAGTTTAAATCAGATTTACCAAAATTCTTGATTTTTCTTCTGGAGGAACGAACTAGTTCAGCTACGTGCTTCACGGGACAATTAGCATTGTCTCAGCGTTTACTTCAAGGTCGCCTGTACATCAATTTCTCATCATTATCAGTTGAGAAAATTATGGAGCTAATTGCATCCTTTCCGAGAGATGTCTGCCATTAAATATATGACATAATGTCGTATAAATAGTTTTTTCACATTTTTTTTAGTAACACTTTTTTTAAGTGGCGAATTTCGTAAATTTGAAGTTTGACTTCGACACTTATAATTCTCTATTCTTGATATGTTTGATTAAAGTTCAAACTGATATAATGTATGATTATAACAAAAGATGACTGACTCCCTCTTTCATATTAGTTCACTCAGGATTTTATTTTTATCGTTTTTTATTTCACTATTAACATTGATTAAGAATTAATCATTAATGTTTTTACTACAAGAAATATATATAATTAATATATTTTTCTTTCAAATATTTTGATATACTTGTTGCTATTCATACATCGTATAAATTAATACAATTGAAAGATGGAAGTTGTGGAAAAGTGTAACAAAGCCAGCTTCATTTTTTCTTTGGTTCAATGGTTTTGTTGTCATGTGCGGCTCTATTTTTCTTTGATTGTCATATTTGCCAAATTTCTGTTGACTTTTATTCTGGAGGAACGAGCCAGTTCAACGGCTTGCTTCATGGGACAGTCAGCTTTGTCTCCAGCGTTTACTTCAAGGTCGCCCTTGCATCAATTTCTTGTCAGTATCAGTCTTCTCGAGTGCTAATTGTGGTCATTTTTGGTAGAAATGACACCAATCACTTAATTCAAATGATTTATTATCTTACTTAAATATATGAATCAGTGCTAGAAGGAGAGAATAAGACTAAGACGGACCTGGTGTAGCACTGACTCGACAGTGTCGACCAAGTGGGCTTCTAGTTGAGTGAACGAGTCGGGTAACGTTGCCATTATTTTGTTTCTGGCAAGATCTTGTACAAACACGTCAAATTTTTAACCAAAAAAAAAAGTCTCTGGAAGTTGGCCGTCTCAAGTCTCTGTCCCAACGAAGGCTAAAATGGAAGGCGATCACTCTTAGAATCTTCTTGGGTTTTGTTAAATGGGCTACTTCTTTTGGGCCATTTTTAAGCAGGGTTTCATTCGGTATCTATAAAAACTATATAAATACTATAGTTAACTAAAATTAGATTTGCATTTCGTTGACATATTATCTTTTAAAATTATATTTTAAAAATAAGAGAAATAAAATTTTTATATCAAGTTTTAATAGATGATAACATATAGATAAATATAAATGTATTTATTTTTTAATGTAAATTATAATTTAATTATATATAAATATAGTTTTTTTTATTAAATAAAGATATTAAATAATATCTTTATTAATATAATATATATAAATATAAATTAAATAAATAATTAAATGTATATATTTTATATATATATATATATATGAGGTTAGTTAGATAAAGCATCTCAAACTCAATACCAATTTGATCTAAATTATTTAAAAAGATAAAACTTAACCTAATTCTTTTTTTTAAAAAAAAAAAACCTGCTTCTATTGTGTTATGACAAATTGAAACTCATTGAAAATATAGGATTTTTTGTCATCCTTACATTTATTAACTTTTTTTTACAAAATTTATCTAATAAATAAAATTTTAAAAAATAAAAAAATGACAAAAAAAAGGTAAATGGGATAATGTAAGAATTTATTAATTTAAAGTATTAAATAATATTTTTTAACAAAATAAATATTAAATATAGAATTAAATAAATAATAAATATATATATATATATATATATATATCAATGCCAAGATGTAACACCTAAAACTTTACTTTTATCCGAGTTTCATTTTTATCCGAGTTCGATTAAAAAAAAATCTCAACCCAAATTATCTTGAATTAAAAGATATGAGCTATTTTATCATTTTTATCTCAATTAAATTTTTTATTATAAAATTTATCTAATAAAAAAATAAAAAATTAAAAAAATAAAAAAAAGCAAAAACTATAAAAAAAATTAAAAAAAAGAGAAAAGTGGCACGTGGACACATGAAATAGGGTAAAACACCTTAAATCCATTTTTAAGCTAACTTCATTTTTTTAAAAAAAAATCTCAATTTGGTCTCGATTTTTTAAGCATTAGGTTGGATTTTTACGAATTAAAATCACTCGAATATGAATTATTTAATTATTTTTATTTTAATTGATTTTTTTATAAAATTTATTTAATAAAAAAAATTAAAAAAACAAAGAATGGAGGAAAGATGAGATGCGTGGAGACCCTCTCCTTCCCCATTCTCTACACAATTATTTAAATATATAGATATCTTATTAACTTGGTTTATCTTTAAATGAACGAACAAAATGAATATTTTAGTTTTATTTTATAGTAAAAAAATCTCATTACAAGAAAATAAGAGAATTATGTGTGTATGTGTCTATATATATATTTAAAAAAAAAAAAAAGAGTGTGAATTAAGAATGCTTAAGCTTGATGGTTTGAGTGAATGGGATTATTATTATGAATAGCATTTCGGAAGTATATAAAATTCACTGAGATGTGATTTTTTTGAGAGAAATAAGGTAAAGAAATTTGTTCTTTGTGTAATGAAGTTTTAATGGTGTTGTTTTATCATTTCTAATTGAGTTTATACAGCTTCAAAATTAACTTTCTTGGCCAAACCGTGGACATGATAGAAACTGGAATGTCTGCCAAGAAAATTGCAGATGCTGTTGCAATCTACTCTTGTTTTAGTTACCCAAAAAAGAGAAGTAGTTTCAGCAATTTCCTTACCCAAACATGAAAGAGAAACAGAAAAGAAGGAACAAGAATCATCACAACACTGATTAAGCAGCTAGAAACTGTAGTGTAGCAGAATTACTAGTACAATCACAAGGCTGAAACACCAGAAATATTCTGCTTTGACTCTAACCAGAGAAGAAGAACAAGTTGCACTGTAATTGGAAATGATAATGTTGCCTTCAATGTGGTAATCGAGTTGGAAGAAGCTTATCTCTGACAGAACAAAGCTCAGCTGTAACATTAGTCATGTTCATTCGCTCGCTTGGCGATTTAGCAGAACAAGTGACTCCAATACCAAATATTGAAATCAAGCAGTGAAGGAATCTCTCAACTCTCTGCTTGCTGTGATTGACTATTTCTTGAAGAAGAATGGGATCTGTAATCTCAGCCACTCTTTCTGGTAAAGCTAGCTTAACGTAGTTGTGGAGGTTCAAATCCTCTTTAAACATGTCATCGGTCGGCCTCTTCCCAGTAAACATCTCCAACAAAAGGATGCCATAGCTGTACACATCACTACAGGTAGATATCTTATTTCCCAAGCCATATTCTGCAATTTTTATTCATCACAAATTTTCAATCACGGTAAAGGATATCGCATATAATGTATTAAGATGACTGTTTCATACCCGAACTCTTAATCGAGATGATGAGTTAGCTAGGATTAATGTAGAAAGTTACTTTAAGGATTATATCTGACATTGATAGGAATGAATAGAAGTGTGTAATTACCTGGTGCGACGTAACCAATAGTTCCTCTTAATGAGCTTGATAGGCTTGTAGAGTAATTTTGCATATCGGCTGACATGAATTTTGCTAATCCAAAGTCACCTACATGGCCAACCATTTCATCATCAAGTAGAATATTGCTTGGTTTGAGGTCACAATGAACAATTGATGTTTCGCAATGATGATGAAGATACTCCAATGCGCAAGCAACATCAACAGCAACATTCAATCTCTGAGAAAACTCCAACTTCTTTGGTGCTTCCTCTGCTATGTTCGTGCCAACAGATGGATGCAGCCAATCTTCTAGGCTTCCATGCACCATGAACTCATAAACAAGAGCCTTAAAATCATTGCCTTGATAATCAACACTCGAGCAGGCAGTTAATATCTTGACAAGATTTCGATGTCTAACACTCCTCAGGGCCTCACATTCACGTATGAAACTCTTGGATGCTCTGTGGTTCAAACGATTAAGCACCTTGACAGCAAGAAGTGTTCCATTTTCTTCGAGAATTCCTTTATATACAGAACCAAAGCTACCGGCACCTACCAAATTTGCTGATGAAAACCCGTCGGTAGCTTTGAGGATGCTTTGGTAAGATAACCATAAAGGTGAATTTTCCAAATAGTTCGGTGTAGACTGCTTTCTTTTCTTCCTAAACCAAACCAGAACAAGCAAGGAGAAGACCAAAGTTACTCCTATAATTCCAGAAACAATAATAATTTTTATTTTTGGCAAGCTGGTTCTACTCCTCGACGACATTTTACATCTAGGCAAGTGGAACTCAGGTAAGCCTCCACAAAGCTTACTGTTTCCCTGAATGAAAGTCGCACTTGAGTTGCTAAAAACTCCTTCAGTTGGTACAGCACCTTCAAAATCATTATAAGAAAGATTCAAAATTTGCAATGACCCAAAACTCCCCAAAAATTTTGGAATTCCACCTGAGAGGTTGTTGTGAGAAAGTTCTAAAACTGCAAGTCCTCTCAATAAACTCAAAGAGTTACGAATAGACCCCTGGAAAAAATTGCCCCCTAGAACTAGTTCCTCCAGTCTAATACAACTTCCAAGAGTGCTTGGAAGCACACCTGATAACATGTTCCAAGAAACATCTAATGCACCAAGATCTTTCAAATTTCCTACTTCAGTGGGCAGTACACCAGTCAAATGATTTGAAGAAAAGTCTAGAGCAATGGACAAAGATGAGAGACCAGCTAATAATTCTGGGAGTATAGAACCAATAAGGTTGTTATTAGAAAGATCCAATGAAATCAGACTTTTGCATTTACTAAGACTCGGAGGAATGATGCCCTGAAAATTGTTGTGACCTAAATTCAGATTGATCAACATCGTTAAATTTCCAAAAGAAAGGGGAATACACCCGGACAGAGAATTTTCTCTTACATCGAACACCTTTAGCTTCTGGAGCACTCCGATTATAGGGGGAATGTGACCTGATAATTGATTGTTATTTGTTGTTAGCATTTCCAAGTTGATGAGATTCCCGATCCCAGCTGGAATTCTTCCCCATATTTCATTATTGTTTATGGTAAAAATTTCCAGATTTATTGACAAATTTCTTATACACTCAGGTATTATCCCCCCAAAAGCGTTTTTGTTCATATTCAACACCTGTAGGTCTGTGGCATTGGTCAAGGTGCAAAGAAAGTTCAAGTCATCGGCTCCCCTACTTCCAAGAAGGTTGCCAGCAATGGCAAACCACTGTAGCTTTTCCAGCTTGTCGAAGGAAGGCAAATTTCCGGTAAACTTGTTTAGCACAACTTCAAGTTGTAGGAGATTTGAGGCATTGGATATTGAAGCAGGCAACGTCCCAGTGAGTTGGTTATTACTGACAGCAAGTATTTCAAGAGAGGGTATGGTGAATCCTAGGTCCCAAGGAAGAGTACCTTGAATTCGGTTTGAGCCAATATCAAGAGTTTCTAGATTGGAGAGATTGAAAAGAGAGGAAGGAACAAGACCAGAAAGTTCATTTTCTGCCACAGAAAAAAATGTAAGATTTGAGAGTTGGTCAAGAGTTTCAGGAATAGCACTACTCAATCTGTTTTGAGCGAGAGAAAGTATCTCCAAAGATGTTAGGTTACCAAAAGAAAGCGGGATACTACCGCTTAAACTGTTGTGGTATAAAGATACTACCTTTAGGTTTGACAAGCTGCCAATAACGACAGGAATTTCTCCAACTAGTTGGTTGTTTGAAAGCTGAATAACTCGAAGTTTAAAGCAACCTGAAATATTGGAAGGAATTTCACCAACTATGGAGTTGTTGGAAAGTTTCAACTCTTGCAATCTGCGCAAACGGCCAACTTCTTGTGGGATTTCATGGCTGAAGCTATTGTTTTGAAGATTTAACACTTTTAGAAAGCTCAAGTTTCCAATAAATGGTGAGATCGGCCCCACGAGTTTCCATGATTGCAAGTCTAACTCGATTACTCTCTGACGTCGGCGACTGCATGCAATTCCAGGCCAATGGCAGAAATGGACTGAGTTATTCCACAAATGCATGACGCCAAGCTGATCACTACTGATCTTGGCTTTGAACTCCAGCAAAGCTTGTTTATCCGTTTCATTTCCACCAACTCCAAAGCTTGCTATACCTAATAAGTTAGCAATTTGCAGGTTGAAACAAAACGGAAGGATTAATAAACAACAATGAAAAGGGGGAAAGAAACCGAGACACATATGGTTGGGAATCCCATCAAGCAGAATACAATGCCCATCATTGAGTGTAGGTTTTAATTGGCAGGGCTTGGTTCATTAACAATAACTCAAAAGCCTTTTTTTTTAGCATTATGATCTGTAAAAGATCATTAATTTCAAATCTCAATCTCTTGACATTATGGGGTAATTTCTACTCTTGAATAATTGATCGTTTGCAAAGAAAATTATTTTGATCCAAAAATAAAAGAAAAAAAAGGATTTGTTTGGCTAGAATTATAACAAGCAAAGCTTCTAACTATCTAGTGAAAATCTATCAGATTAATTAAAGTTTGGATGATAAATTCATATGGAATCCTTTACCTTTGTTTGGTGATTGCAATTCTAACTTGGTCATCACTCTTTGGTGTCGGCGATTGCATGTAACACCATGCCATTGGCAAAAATGAACACCATTCCGATCACCATCACCGGTAATATTCTTGGTCTTGAACTGATCAAGTAAGGTTGTACCAAGTGATTTAGGAGCTTGTGAAGTAAAGCTCAACAGGAGAGTCAGAGCTAACGCAAGTGCCCAAGACGCTTCCAAATGCACGACCGTTAACCCCATCAAGCACATAATTCTCACGAATATGTAAGGTTTTCTTGTATATATTTGGCACCAGTTGGCTCATAAAACTTGAACTAAGATTCAAAATAATATATAGAATAACTTTTAAAACTCTGGTTTTTCATAATTGTGAAAGATATATACACCAACAAGCATTCTCTTATTATACAAATAGCTAGGATTTTTAATTTTGCTACCGAGTGCTCTAACTACACTTTTTTTAAGGTTAAATAAAAATCCTATTAATAATTAATTTAAGAGTTTCAATTTTTTTTAAAAATATTTACTTTATATAGTGATTTTAAAAAACTCTCTAGGGTATTCCTTAGCAAAATTCTTATTTAAAAAAAATATACATTCCCCACTTTTGTCCTAATCATTTATACTTCTTAACATTATTAGATAAATTCATTTAAATTAATTCATAAATTAGATATTAAAGTCAAACAGATAACTTCTCCTGTGGTTCAAACTATCGATATCTCATTTATTTCTGTTACTATATATCAATGGTTTTCAACCAGTTGTTTTCCTTCTTATTAATTGATATACTTAAAATGAGAACACAAGTCAACAGTCAACACCACATGCCATTTGTGTTACAAAGTCAAGCATGTGTTGTCGATCTCTAGTTTTCATTGACAAATGGACAGTTATGGTTGGCTAGCTAAGTTAGAGTTCCAAAATTTTGTTTACCTGCAAAGCCTTACGGTTTATCTAAAGTCACTTTTTATTATGTTTTAGTTTGTTATTAAATGAAATGTGTATTTTTCTCTCTTGCTACAAGCCTATAACTACTAATTACTACTAATATTTTTGTTAAGCTTTTGAAATATTATTAATTAAGTTTTACAAGTTTTACTATTCATAATTTATTGTATTTAGCACGATATAAATATATTATATAAAGGAAATCAGGATTTAAGGAAAAATTGAGAAAATAAATTTGTAAGTCATGGGATGAAATTTCAATTAATCTTACTAGAATTGTAAATTATTTGAGTTAAACTTCATATTCATTATATATATATATATATATATATTAATTCAATATTATGTTTGTTACTATATATTACAATTCATTGAGTTCTACTATTTAGTTTAATTCTGATAATATTTTTTTTTTGTTACTTTAAAAGTTTTATTATAACTATTAATGTAACAATTTGTGTTACTTTATTGAAAACATGTGCTACATCCCAATTGAAAATTCATGTTTCATTTTGTTCTATCTCAAAAGTATTTATGTTGTCTTTCTCTTTTTTAAAACCACAAAATTCTTTCTTTTTTCTACTCTCTTTATATTATAAATTTTTTCTCTCTATAAAATATTAGTCAGAACGTTTTTCTTAATGTTCATGCAAAACCAAAAGTAATATAGAATTTGAGACAAATAAGCTATCCCATAATAAATCTTTTTTATCTTAAACATACATATATTAATTAAGAACATTAAAATGATCAAATACTAAGTTAGCTATACATATAGATCTAATAATTTAAAATATGATACGATAATATGATATAAAAATGATATGAATAAAGAATATGAAGACAACACGATTTAAAATTTTTTAAAAAATTATAAATGGGTTTAATAAAACAAAAAAAAAATATTTATATTTTTTTGTTGACATGAACTTTGACACATGATTTTTAAGTAAAACACAATACAAATACAGTATTTTTTATGATACAGTAACACAAATTGTTAAGTTTATATACATATATGTAACTTTTCAAACTTTTATCATCTTTGAAAACAGTACTACTTTCTATTTTTTCTTAATTAGTGTAATTAAATCTAGTTACATTACTAATTTTTTACTATTAATAATTAAAATTTTAGTGGTTATTATGTGGCATAAAACGGTGACAACCAAATGGATTTGATTAAATTATTTTAAGTTGTGTCACTCTAATTAATATCATATTATTAGATTTGAATTTTCTCTTCAATATTTAAAATTTTAATTCTTATCAAATTGTATTTATTTCATGTCAAATAAATATAAAACATAAAAATTATTGTATCATAATTATGTCGATACATCAAACGAAATGATTTTTACCAAATTTATGTATGATTTTTGTTAAAATTTTAAATTATTCTAAAGCATGTCACTTTTATATTTTTATTATTTTTATATCGTATCATTATATTGTATTTAAAATTATCGAGTCTGACTTTTATTTTATTAGTAACATTGTACATTGACACCAATTGCAATCTATTAATAAAATATTTAATTTTAATTTTAGCTATCAAAATTTAATTCTTGATAGTCTAAAAAAAATTGAATGCATTATTAGTCATTATTAAAAAAAATGTACAACTATCTACATACCTTTCTCTGTAGTCAATTTACTTTCGATTTCATTATATTTATTTTGCCTTATCCTACAAGTTCAGCCAAGTATATGTTAACCATTGCAGGGGGCAGGCAAGGGGATTGCGGTTACTAAATACTCCTTATTAATTAATCTCTGACTGTCCGTTTAATTTCATGCGACAATAGTTTCTTACTAAAATTAAAACTTTCGATTTTTTTTTCACCAAGAAATTAAGGGGCAATTTACCACTGTTTTCAAATCTGTTATTTAACGTTCACCGGACCAGTGAACCATATTTTATCTAGGGTTTACTTCAAGTCTCTGCATCCAATGCCCCACTTAGGGCCCACAAACATGGCTATATGGTCTTTCATCCTCAATAACATCCAGAGTTCAAAGACTATTCTAAGAGTTGCAGGGACTATCTTTGGGTCAATGATTCTCACCGGGATTTTTCTAAAAATATTTTCCAAGTCTCTCTGCTATCGTTTGCTCAGGATCAGCCGTTTGCTTCACGGTATTTGAAAAATATTTTCGGTAATCTCTGTCAGCCATAATCCAATTAAGTGGCCTAAGCAAGCCCTACAATTTCAGTCAAATACGTAACGATCTGATCCTGCAGTACAAGGGCGAACCCACCTCATCAATCCTCTGCTTGTCAATGGTTTTGTTGTCATGTGTGGCTCTATTTTTCTTCGATTCACAAAAGGAATTTTAAATCAGATTTGCCAAATTTCTGTTGATTTTTTTTTTTCTGGAGGAACGAACTAGTTCAACGACTTGCTTCATGGGACAATCAGCTTTGTCTCTAGCGTTTACTTCAAGGTCGTGCTTCCATCGATTTCTCGTCAGTATCAGCCTCCTACAGTGCTAACTGTGGTAATTTTTTTTGTAGAAATTACAATGATTTACTCGTCTTACTTAAATAATAAAGTTTTGCAAATTCAAATTAGATTCTTTGACACTTATAATTCCACTTTCAATTAGATTTCGACTTAAAAAAAACTATTATTTTATTTTAAGTAATTAATGTAAAATTAATTTGTGATTGAAAATTTCAATAATTTTAAATTAAATAAAAAGATAATTACTGAAAATCAATTAAAAGTAAAATAATTATGCTACATGAGGTATTTTACCGGTAAAGCCTGTGCAATTAACTCTGGTAGCTTAGTTAATTGTAGATAAAATAAGTATTTTCATTAGTTCCAAAACGTAACAAAAGAAATACAGTTGGATTAAAAAAGAAAAAAAAAAAAAAGGTTTCCAACCAAAACTTCTATAATATTGCACTTAGTTCTTCTTCGTAAACCAAACAATTCCAAAATTCAAACTAATCAAAAAGCAAATTAAAAGTATAATTGTGAAGTGGATTTCTTTTAACAACAAAAGACTACTTGCATCAATTTTTAATTTTTAAATTTATTGTGTAATCAATGTGATGGATGAATGTCAGAATATGGCTTGGGAAGTGAGATGTCAACAAAACCTTCTATGACATTCTCTTGCTAGAAATGTTTACAGAGAGGAGACCTGCTGATGAACTGTTTAAAGAGGGTTTAAGCCTTCACAACTTTGTTAAGGCAGCTTTGCATGAACAAGTGAAAGAGATTATAGATCCAATTCTACTCTAAGAGAGAGGTAGAAATCTTATAACAAATTTATTTAAAATTGATTAGATATTACTTAATGGACAAGAAAAGTTACAAAAGAAAAATTCTAAGAGAAAATAGATTATTGATAGGCAAATATGTATACTTATAAATAAGTAAAGTCTCTATAAGGTTAGGTATAAAAAACATATTTAAGAGGGTTGTAGGGTTTTATAGAATAAATACCCCATAAGACAATAAGATATTAACGTTCTTATGGGTGTGTATGTTTGAGTGAACTAGATGAGACTGAAAAGATCCACATAAGTATGATGGTGTGAATGTTTGTAAGTGGACTACAGGAGATTGAGATGGTCCACATAGGTATAAATACATGAGTGTATATGGGTATGTGTTTGTTTGGGTTGAGAATATTCTATAGGATTAGAAGAGATTGAGAGGGTCTTATGAGTATTAATTGTTGAGTGAGGTTGATATGATTTGTATATTTGTAATTCTCTACAACTATTGGATCTTATTTCTCATTCGTAGATGTAGGTCGATTGGACCTAACCACATTAAATTATTATCTCGT